GGTCTCAACCACCTGGCAGACTGTGACCTTTCTGCAGGCCACTTATAAAATGCCTTATACTTGGTGTTGGGTGAGGAAGTCCTAATGTAGTTGGTAACCAAGTACTTAACTTAAATCCATGAATGGAAGAATTTTTGCTGTTTGTTTTTGGAAGCATTTCCTAATTCATTATTAGAAGAGCAATACTAGCCTAATCACCATCCATCCCTTCAACCACCCAATGTTTATTTACCAGGAGAGGGTTGTCACTCGCCCTTCTCTTGACCAGACTCTTGCAGCTGTCCCCATGCTGCCACACTCTTGAAAAATCTACATGCAGCTTCTTTAGTAGTAACTACCAGGTAGACACCTCTGAGGCTGTAAAGCAATACTTATTGCTATCCCACCTGCCCTCCATGTCAGAAACATCAAGCCTCAACCTGTAGGGGAATCAATAAGAGTAGGGGTTCTTGGGTTAGATAGTCTTGGGTTCAAATATGGATTTTCCCACTTACTAACTGTGTGATCTTGGTATGTTTACTTAACCTCTCTGAGTCTTAGTTCAAATCTCTGTGAAATAGGATAATAGTACCTATCACAGAAAGCTATTATGAGGGTTATATAAAATAATATTTCTAAAGCACTGAGCTAAAAGTCATTGAGTTCTTACTCTGTTTCTGAAATCATAATATTATTTTAAAATATCTGGTCCCTGAGCTGCAAAATACATCTCCATTGTTATTATTTGCCTTGGTAAGTGGATTATGGCACAATTTCATGCTTGAACAAAAATTACTTTGAATAAGACTTGTTTTCTTTGATTATCAGATTGTTTCTAAGTTCGTTGAAGGCCAAGGGGCTTAATTATAAAAGTAGCTGATGCAAATTGATTGTAATATAGCAGTTGGAATTCAACTACCATGATTGAAATGTGAGAGTATGATTTAATATTTGCTCTCTGTTTTTAAAAGATTGGTAGATACTTTGGGTCCAGGAAGCTCATGCCTGGGGTGATTCTCTACTCTTTTTCTTTTTTTTAAATATATCTTTATTGATTTCAGAGAGAGGAAAGGAAAGGGAGAGAGAGAGAGAAACATCAATGATGAGAGTCATTGATCGGCTGCCTCCTGCACGCCCCCGACTGGGGATCGAGCCCGCAACCCGGGCATGTGCCCTGACTGGGAATCGAACCCCGATCGCCTGGATCTCGGGTCGACGCTCAACCGCTGAGCCATGCCCAGCCGGGCAGATTCTCTACTCTTAACAGCAGTCACAACCATACTCATTTGGTTCCATAAAAGAGCAGGTCCGAAGGCTAGGTCTCCAGGATGGCAACAGAAGACAGGATGTATACTTGGTCTGTTACTGTGGTGCTGATTGAGTTTGGCTCATCAGAGTACTCTCTGTCCCTTGGCAGAAAAGAAGGAGTTCATTTCCTTGGCGCCCAAAGGCTGGCAGAACAACCCAACTCTCACTCATTTCTCCACAAAACCTTTTCTTTCAAGACTCCCTTCCCCTTTTCCCTCTCCACTGGACCAGAGTACACTAATGCTTGTGTCCCTTAAGTAAGATGCCACTATGGGGTGAAAAAAATTCTTCTGGCTTCATACCTGGAATTAGGTGGTCAGTCTTTACTTGAATCAAATTGTGCTTTTCCCCCTCCTTTTCTTCATTACTATTGGCTTCTCTGTTTTCCTATATAATTTTTAAAACTTTCTACCTTAAAATTAGATTGTTTTCAAATCATCCTCACGCTGACCAGGAGTTTCTGGAAGGCATAGCCTCTGTCTTATTTACCTCTTTAGCCCTCAAGGTACCTGGTACAGACAGGGCTAGTATAGAGCAGGCATTTGGTAATGGTTGTAGAATTAAGTTGCATCACTATTTTTCAAAAGCCCTGTAGTAATATCATCTCTTAAAGCAAATTGCTGCATCACACACAAAATTACTCTACAATCAAAGGTTGTATCTGGGTGCCTTGCATTACACAATAAACGTATTTCCTATTGATAGGAGGCCAATTGAATTTCTGTAAATGGAATCCTTATCTCATGTACTTACATTGTCATCTGGGAGATGCTAACATCAAGGGTTACCCTTTTTAAATATTTTTTTCACCTTTCCCCATCTCTACCTTTTCCCATCTTCCCCAATAGAAAAGTCGATAATTTATTTAATTGTGGTATTTATTGGTCATCTATAAGTTGTTAGAGTATTTTTCGACTATTAATCCACAGCTCCTACCACAAATATTTAAATGCACCTCAGGAGTATTATTTAATTCCTATTGTAGGAATCCTATGGTAAAGTGAAGCATCACTTCTGATTGATTTAATATTCTTTCACCTTTGATTTTGTCTGAGTTTCCTTTTGCCAAGCCCCTACCTAGATTGCTCACAGCTCTTAGGTACTTGTGCAGGCTCGACCTTCCTGTCTCAGTGTTTGCAGGCTGCACTGACAATGCTTATACTGACCACCGAAAACTTAGGTCTGCTACATGGCAGTGAATAATCAGGATGGGGAGTGGCATTCACAACATGGGCTTCTGATCAGAGACTTCAGAATATAAATCAGGATATCACTTACCAAAAGTATTATTCCTATTTACAATTGGACTTTCTATAGGGTTCCTTCTCATAGCAAGGATACTTAGTGCTTCTGATATAAGATTGAGCGTACAATCATTCCAAAGTTGATACTATGTTTCACGTGCCACCATAAATGCAAAAATGAAAAGAAAGATGTCACCACCACAAGCAAAAAGATGCAATATGGCACTTTGGTGTGAGTGCAGAGCTAGCAGGGGTGGAGGGATGGGGTAGAGATGGCAGGCCAGCAGCAGTGCCTGCCTCTCCCCTCAGCATCCTAGCCCAGTTCATTTTGCAAACCTGGCTGCTCACAGGCGGCCAGCTATTCTTGGAGAGAATCCACTAGAAAAAATGAAGTGCACAGCCTTTGCCCCCATTTGTCAAGCTCAGTTCCTCTGTCTCAGGAGTAGGTCAGTCTACAGCTCACCCGTGGTGCCTAAAGTTAGACCGACCTCAAAATATCAACTAGATATCAGTTGAGCATGAAGTAGGAATGATTACACAAGGATCACACTGGATGACTTTGGAAAGCACGCCACAGATAGAATGCCACAATTCCTCAGTTCACTGCCTTGTGCCCAGCTCCTCCCATGACACTGGCCTCTTTCTGTTTTGCGGGGTGCAGAAGGGGACCATCAGCACAAGGCAGAAATGAGCGATAGTTTTTAAGAAGCCTCAGCTGGGGGCACAGGAGCCTAAATCACAACACCCCTCTCACCAGGAGTCCCCCTCCCACAAGCTCTCCACATCTCCACACCTGCCTAATGTTCAAAACTTCCCCCAAGACTCACCATACCAGGAACAATTCTCTGATCCCACCACCCTAATAGTGGCAGACATTAGTCTGAGGGTTCTACACACACCATCCCATTAAATCCCTACAGCAATCTATAGACAGGTATGATTATCCCCATGAAGAGGATGCTAAGCTCCAAGAGGTTAAATTTGTCTTCATGGCATCAAAATGACAGAGATAGCAATGAAGCCGAGGTCTACGTGACTCCAAAGCCTGTGTTCGTCAGCACTTTCTGTGTGCACCTCCCAAGCATCACCCCCTTTTCTGAGCCACAAGGGTCTGGACTTGGTCCCACTCTCTTGGGTTCCTTCACAGACTTGGAGAATGAAGTTTTTATTGAGAAAATAAATCATTTCCCCACCTTCATTGAAAGTTGCTTGAAGAAAGGAGTGACATCTTCTGCTTCTCTATTACTCTTAGGGGGTCTGTGGTATAGAGTGAGGTGTATGCAGTGATTAAACATCTGTTCATTCGCTGTGCTTGAATTCGGACTAAAGGAAAAGGAATTAAAATGTGCTCAACATCAGACACCATTCTTTCAAGACATTATTCAATCCAGCCCTATACTAGTCTCCTCTATCCGAATGCTCTGTGAGAGGTCCTGTCATCTTTGGTAGAGACAGTTTCTTTTTTCTTAGGCAAGTTAGCATGGAGGACTCACCTGTTTCCACACACAGTGTGAGTGGTGGAACATGAATGGTCCACATATTCTGTTTTCCAGTTTTTTCCATTCCTGCCACACCCAATTGGCTTTTGGCTCTCACAGTTAATTCTGGTTCCCAAAGGAAGCCTTGAATAGCATCTAGTTTTTTTTTCTTCTTTTTTTGAGTTTGTGTTTTGAGAAATTTCAGGTCACTGAAATGTCAGGTCACTAAGTAGATCTAAACGATGAGACTGACAGGTGCACTCTTGGCCTCACATCAATGAATACAGATCATTCGTGAGCGGGAGGGGAAAAGGTGGACAAAAACTGGACCCAGAATGAATATAAAGACAGAGAAGCTGGGAGTGGAGCCACCATCAGGAGAAGACTCACTCCAAGTGCCTGTAGCTGAGTCAGTACCAACGTTCCCAATATGAAGCTGTTGCTGCTGTGTCTGGGGCTGACTCTGGTCTGTGCCCATCCTGGAGGGAACAATGCTGTTGTGACAAGGAACTTCGATATGTCAAAGGTAGAGTTGGGGGAGCATAGTGACTCCTGGCTTTGGGGGTAGCTTGGGGGATTCTGAAGCAAGGTGGCCCTACTGGTGGGGAAGGGGTTTCTGACATGTTAAGCAAAAGAGGTGGTTTCTGACCTTGGATAAGAGCGGTCATACCATATAGAAAGATGGCAGCACTTGGGGACCTCCGTTCTCATGGGAGGAATGTGGAAAGAGCCTTACATGTGCAGTCAACTGACCTGAGTTCTAATTCCATCTTCACATCACCATTAGGAGTCCTGGCTCATGGGCCAGAGTTGAAGGAGACAAGTGTGGTGTCACCTCTTTTCTTTTCTTACCCAGTCATTTTACTGACTTATTGCAGATTTCAGGGGAGTGGTATTCCATTTACGTGGCCTCAGACATGAAGGAAATGATAGAAGAAAATAGTGTCATGAGGGGTTTTGTGGAATCCGTCCAAGACTGGGGCAACTCTTCTGTGACATTTAAATTTCATATAAAGTAAGTGTGGCTTTTTTTACTTGGGAAAGGGAAAACAAAAGGCTGAGTGTGGTCTTGGAACACTTAACACACACACACATGAGCGTGCACATGCACCTATACACACACATTGTGGGCCTGTATCCCAAATCAGAATCACTCATCTGGCACTGATGTGGGACTGAGGAAGTTGCTGATTTTCTAGATTCAGAGATAGGAATTGGTGACAGGAATAAATTTAACTGGGAGCTGAGGTCAGTGGCAGAGAGTTTCAGAATCACAAGCCGTGGGGCAATACAGCATAGGCTAAGAGCAGGGATGGGAGGTCAACAGCCTAGCCCTCTCTCACTAGTTGCACGGCCTAGAAATGTTCTCCTTCCACCCCAGCTTCCCCTGGGGGGAAAGCGGATGACACTCACTCTCTCTCCTGGTGCTTTTTCCTGAGGACCGAGTGAGGCCATGTTTATAGGGCCCTTATCTGAGAGCTGGCACAGCTGAGCCCTCAGCTAATTCTACAGGGAAGTGGCTGCAGTCAGAGGATAGTGGGAAGTGGCGGTAGAGTAATAGTGACATCAGTAGGTAACTCATTCATAAGTAGCAAATAAAGTGAAATCGGGTCAATAAAAGCTGTTTCAAATGTGTACCAAAAATGTTCAACACTTAAGTAGAATCAGGTACACATGTTACAGGAGGAGTGTGAGGCAGTCAACCCATCAGTATCTCCTGAGCATCAGCTCATTCTGTTTTGCAGGGTCAATGGAGAGTGTCGTGAAATGTCTGTGCTTTGTGACCAAGCAGCAAATATAGGTGTATTTAATGCTAACTGTAAGTAAATAAAAATATCTTTGTAAATGTTACTTCCAACTGCAAGAAATTGACTAACACACCATATTCTTAGGATCTTGATCAATTCCTGATCAATGTTTATTTAGGTAATAACAATGGGGCCATCTAACAGCCAATATCCTCCATTTGGGAGACCCCTATGTGTAAAAGCCATTACATGGCACAAACACCATCAGAATAAGATGGTGACTTGGTCATATGTACCACCTGCAACAAAGGAAAATGGGCAACAACAAACAAACAAACAAAAAACATAAATTGTCAGGACACCCGCTCATCCTCTGCCTCTGCCCACTTTCTGATGATTTCCGGTGCCCATTGCCACAGCACATTGCTCGGATGGAGTGCTGGGTGTATAATGCCAGGGGCCTTATGGACGGGACAGAGACACAGAGTTGGCAGAGGTGGCCGAGGGAGGTAGGTGAGCTTCAGGGAGGATGACAGAGGGGAAGTTGCTGCTGTGTCTGAATTTTTCTAACACTAGTGGCCGATGATGAGCAGTGGAATTTCTTTCAGAAGTCAACTCTTCCCTTAGAAGTTGCCATATGAAGCCCGCAACAGACAAATGAAAGGCCTTAGCTATCACTCTGTATCTTCCAGGATATGCCTCTGAGTTTGCTCTGTGACAGAAAATCGGTAGAGTTTTACTTGCTTCCCATGGACTAAAGAAGTTCTGAGCTGTGTTCTGTTTCCTCCACAGATAATGGATTCAATAGAGTTCGCTTTATTGAAGTGGTCTACAATAAATACGTTATTTTTCAGCTCTATAATTTCAAAAATGAGCAAGCATTCCAGATGATGAAACTCATGGGTAGAGTATATTTATTCTCACACTCATCTGAGAACAATGTAGTTCCCCCAATCTTGTCCAGGGATATCATTCCTCTCTGAAGAGAGGCGCTCACTTGGGTAATCCCTCAGGCTCAGTGATGAGAAGATGGTGAAATTTCTCATCATGCCAGAGGACAGCCTAAGATATCAAATTCTGGACAGGTTATAGGCCATCCCCACCCTCTGCCCAAGCACCAATCCCTGCCATTTTTTCCCGTCCATCCGCCTCCCAACCCCCCGCCCCCGATCCCCAGAGAGCCTCAGTGACTAAGAACCACACACAGCAGTCACTGTCACTTTCCCCACAGCCCGAAAACCAGATGTGAGTCAAAACCTCAAGGAAAGGTTTGCAAAACTTTGTAAACAAAATGGAATTGATGAGGAAAACATGGTGGACCTGACAAAATTAGGTAAGTTTAGCTATCTCTGGTATTCTCTTCCTAAATCCCCATGTTACTAGAGGAAGAAATCTAAGAGAGGGAAACACCTCCAATCAGTCTCCTCTGTCCTAAGCAGGAAAATCCTCTGGATGCTCACTGGGAAATATGTGGGTTGGTGTTTGACTGTCTTCTGTTCTGCCTCTGCAGATCGCTGTCTCCAGGCCCGACAGAGCCATATGGCCTAGTTCTCCAGGTTGGTGATGGCTCCTGGGGGGGGAAGGGGGGCACGCGAGGGATCACTGCCTTCCAACACAATTAGGGGTTTATGGCCAAAGATTACAATAAAAATATTTTGGTAGGAAGCTTGAGGGAGTAACTTGATATTTGGAGTTGTGTGTCCTGTGTTCAGGACCCACTCCTTCCATCAGCTTTAGAGCCATTGGCCTAAGCAATGACAAGGAGGCCAATGATGTGGACATTACAGAGTTGCTGTGTGGATACCCTGCTGGTGAAAAGGCCTCAGTAACTGATAATGTCTTAAGCATCACCAAGACATAAAATTGGAAATAGGAAAAGAGTACTAGGGTGTGAGTATGAAACTGAAATATATTTCAGTGTCTTGTCCATCTTCCAAGGCCAAAATGTGTGGTCTCACCCTCCAGTGTTTGGTAATAATGTCTTCCTTTGATCTCTGCACGCCCTTAACTTCTGATCTGGAAAGAGAGCTGTCTGATCTTCCAGTTGTCTCCCATCTGGAAAACAGGCTCTGAATTCCCTCATCTGTGTCCTATCTCAGCTTTATTGTGGGGCTTCATTCAGAAAAGGTATGGGAAAGACTTAGCAACTATGGCTTGCATAAGGTCAGCATTTAATAAAAGGTAGCTATGGTTTTAGCCCTTCTTCCTCAATTTATCAGAGATCCTTCAAAACATTTAATACTGAGAATGGCAGAAAGCAGCCTAGGGTCCTCACTGATTCCTTCTCTTTATCATAGACTCAGTGAGGAAGGTTAAGCAATAGAAAAAACACACCAGCCATTGACTCAATTCCTCCTTCCCCGTATTCTGTCCAGTAACATAGGTTATAGAGCAGGTTGATATCTATTTCTTCACCATTTTTCTCTGTAATAAAAATTCTCTTTTCAATTCAATCTAGGAAATGATTAATGAGTTTCTGTTCTCTCTCTCATCTGCTTATTTAGTGCTGAGTGAATGCTTCCTCACCTGGGCTCCAGGATCTTCATTCCATGGACCCTGTATCATCCTGTGACCAGTTCTGTGACCTGATTTCCATCACTATCGTCCATGAAGGCATTATCTCTGAATCTTCAGGATCTTCTCTAATTGTCTAGATAGACTTTTCAATTCCCCCAAAATCAAAGGTTTCCTCCAAATTCCCGATTCTCTTCACCATACTCAGAAATCTACCATGAATACAACCTCCTGTATCTGATCAATAAATGATTAGTTTACAATCATGTGATTGTCTTGTGTATGTGAGAAACCTGGGGCTGATAGCAAGTGAGTGACCCCATTCCTTGGCCCTGTGCCCATAATGGTCCTTCATGGGGATAATAGTACCTGAATAGATTGCTGTAGGGATTCAGTGTGTGTAGAACCCTCAGACTAATGTCTGCCACAATTAGGGTGGTGGGATCAGAGAATTGTTCCGGGTAAGGTGAGTCTTGGGAGAAGTTTTTTGTTTTTTTAAAAATATATCTTTTTTGATATCAGAGAAAGGAAAAGAGAGGAAGAGAGGAGATAGAAACATCAATGATGAGAGAGTAATTGATCGGCCGCCTTCTACACGCCCCCGACTGGGGATTGAGCCCGCAACACGGGCATGTGCCCTGATCGGGAATTGAACCCTGATTGCCTGGATCCTAGGTAGATGCTCAACCGCTGAGCCACGCCAGGCCGGGCTTGGGTGAAGTTTTGAACATTAGGCAGGTGTGGAGAGGTGGAGAGCATGTGGGAAGGGGACTCCTGGTGAGAGGATTGTTTTGATTTAGGCTCCTGTACCCCCAGCTGAGGCTTCTTAAAAACTATCGCCCATTTCTGCCTTGTCGTAATGGTCCCCTTCTGCACCCCGCAAAACAGGAAAAGGCCAGTGTCATGGGAGGAGCTGGGCACAAGGCAGTGAACTGAGGAATTGTGGCATTCTATCTGTGGCCTGCTTTCCAAAGTCATCCAGTGTGATCCTTGTGTAATCATTCCTACTTCATGCTCAACTGATATCTAGTCATTGGTATTTTGAGGTCGATTTAACTTTAGGCACCACTGGTGAGCTGTAGACTGACCTACTCCTGAGACAGAGGAACTGAGCTTGACAAATGGGGGCAAAGGCTGTGCACTTCATTTTTTCTAGTGGATTCTCTCCAAGAATAGCTGGCCGCCTGTGAGCAGCCAGGTTTGCAAGATGAACTGGGTTAGGATGCTGAGGGGAGAGGCAGGCACTGCTGCTGGCCTGCCATCTCTACCCCATCCCTCCACCCCTTGTAACTCTGCACCCACATCTGAGCGCCGCCTTGAAACTGCCTGCTTCTGGGCACTCCCACTGTGTGCCCCAGGAGAAAACCAGAAATGTAGGCATATGCCACAGAATGTTTTCTTAGTATTTTAGTGTTTTGTACTCAAGTACTGGTGGAATGTTTGTATCTCTGAACATGAGGTTTTTGGCAGTTGTTTGGGAAAAACTTATGTTTACATTTTAAAATTGCAATGCACCATTTTTCACATTTCTCTCACCAGGAATTCCCATCCCACATGCTCTCCACATCTCCACAGCTGCTTCAAGTTCAAGAATTGCCCCATGTCCCGAATCTCTGCAGCAATCTATAGATAGGTACGATTATCCCCATGAATAAGATACTAAGCTCCAAAATGTTAAATTTGTCCTCATGGCTTCACAATGACAGATAGGAATGAAGCCCAGGTCTACATGATTCCAAAGCCTCTGTTTTTTAGCACTTTCTATGTGATGTCACCTCCCCAGCATCACCCCCTTTTCTGACCCACAAGGGTCTGGACATGGTCCCACTCTGTTGGGTTACTTCATAGACTTGGAGAATCAAGTTTTTCTTGAGAAAGGAAAGCATTTCCATAGCTTCATTGAAAGTTGCTTGAAGAAAAGGGTGACATCTACCACTTCTCTATTTCTCTTAGGGGGTCTGTGGTATATAGGGAGGTATATGTAGTGATTAAACATCTGTTCATTCACTGTTGTTTAATTCGGACTAAAGGAAAAGGAATTAAAATGTGCTCAATACCAGACACCATTCTTTCAAGACATTATTTAATCCAGCCCTATTCTAGTCTCCTCTATGTGAACTCTCTGTGAGAGGTCCTGTCATCTTTGGTAGAGACAGTTTCTTTGTTTCTTAGGCAAGTTAACCTGGAGTAACTGTTACATCACCACCAGGAGTCCTCTTTCCACACACAGAGTGATTGGTGGAACATGGATGGTCCACACATTCTATTTGTAAGTTCTACTCCATTCTTGCCACATAATTCGCTTTCTGATCTCACAATTAACTCTGGTTCCCATCAGTAGCCTTGTATGGCATCTGCTATTTTTTTCTTGACTGAGTGTTTTGAGTAATTTCAGGTCACTCAGTATTTCTAAAAGGGATGAGACTGACAGGAACAATCTTGGTCATACAACAGTGAGTACAGACTGTTCGTGAGCAGGAGGTGAAAAGGTGGACAAAAAACTGGACCCAGAATAAATATAAGGACAGAGAAGCTGGGAGTGGGAGCCACCATCAGGGAAAACTCACTCCAAGTGCCTGTAGCTGAGTCAGTAGCATCCTTCCCAGTATGAAGCTGCTGCTGCTCCTGTGTCTGAGGCTGACTCTGGTCTGTGCTCATCATGAAGGAAACAATGCTGTTGTGACAACCAACTTCGATATGTCAAAGGTAGAGTCGGGCCTTTATTCTAAGGTAGAACATAGGGGCTTCTGACCTCGAGGGTAGCTTGGAGGATTCCCCAGCAAGGTGGCCCTATTGGAGGGCAAAACATATTTGACATGTTAAGCAAAGGAGGTGGTGTCTGACCTTGTACTAAGAGCAGTCATACCATGTAGAAAGGTGACAACTCTTGGGGACCTCCATTCTCACTGGGGGGCAGTGGAAAGAGTCTTACATGTGCAGTCAAATGACCTGAGATCTAATTCCATCTTCATATCATTACTAGAGGTCCTGGCTCATGGGCCAAATTTCAAGGAGACAAGGGTGTGTGTGGTATCTCCTCTCCTCTTTTCTTACACAGTCATTTTACTGTCTTATTGTAGATATCAGGGGAGTGGTATTCCGTTCTCTTTGCCACAGACATGAAGGAAAAGATGGAAGGAAATGATAGCATGAAAGTGTTTGTGAATTCCATCCAAGTCTTGAAAAACTGTTCTTTGTTGCTTAAATATCATAGAAAGTAAGTATGACTTTTTTTATTTGGGAAGAAAACCCCAGAAGGCTATGCATGGTTTTGGAGCTCTACACACACACACACACACACACACACACACACACACACACACACGCATGTGGGCCTGTGTCCAAAACCAGTGTCACTTCTCAGGCACTGATTCATGACATGATTAACCTGAAGCATTTCTAGATTCAGAGATAAGAATTGGTGACAGGAATAAATTTAAATAGGAGCAGAGAGGTAAGTGGCAGAGAATCACAAGCCGTGGGGCAATACAGCATAGGTTAAGAGCAGGGATGGGAGGTCAACAGCCTAGCCCTCTCTCACTAGTTGCACGGCCTAGAAATGTTCTCCTTCCACCCCAGCTTCCCCTGGGGGGAAAGCGGATGACACTCACTCTCTCTCCTGGTGCTTCTTCCTGAGGACCGAGTGAGGCCATGTTTATAGGGCCCTTATCTGAGAGCTGGCACAGCTGAGCCCTCAGCTAATTCTACAGGGAAGTGGCTGCAGTCAGAGGATAGTGGGAAGTGGCGGTAGAGTAATAGTGACATCAGTGGGTGACTCATTCATAAGTAGCAAATGAAGTGAAATCAGGTCAATAAAAGCTGCTTCAAATGTGTACCAAAAATGTTCAGCACTTAAGTAGAATCAGGTACGCATGTTAAAGGAGTGTGAGGGAGTCAGACCCATCAAAATCTCTTGGGCATAAGCCTATTCTGTTTTGCAGGGCCAATGGAGAGTGTACTGAAATTTCTTTCATTTGTAACAAAACAGAAGAAGTGGGTGTATGTCGTGCTGAGTGTAAGTATAAATAAAAATGTATTTATAAATTCTATTCCCAACTTCAATAAATTTATTAAATTTTCAATATCCTTAGGATCTTGATTAGTTTCATAGCAATGCTTATTTAGGGGATATAAATGAGGTCAATATCCTCCATTTGGGTGATCCCTGTGTCTAAAAGCCAACACATGGCACATAATATGATCAGATTAAGATGGTGACTTGGTCATATGACCCACCTGCAACAAAGGAAAGTGGACACACATAAAAGGAAATTTTTTCGATAACTTCTGATTCCCTGCTCACTCTGATGATATATGGTGGCCACTACCACAGCACATTGCTTGGCTAGAGTGTTGGGTATATAACACCAGTGGGGCTTATAGACAGGACAGAGACACAGAGTTGGCAGAGGTGGCCGAGGGAGGTAGGTGAGCCTCACGGAGGATAATAGAAGGTAAGTTGCAGCAGTGTCTGAATTTTCTGCCACTAGCAATCAATGTACCACTGCTTGTCAATTCTACCCTTAGAAGTCACCAGATGAAGCCTAGGGAGATAGAATGAAAGAATTTAGGTACCACTCCTCATCTCTCTGGGACATACACATGAATTTGCTCCATGAAAGATTATAGGTAAAGAGTTTCTCTTGCTTCTCATGGACTAAAGAAGTTCTGAGCTGTATTCTGTTTTTACCACAGATAATGGATGCAATAAATTTCACATAATTGAAGTGGTCTATAATCACTACCTTATTGCTCATATCTTGAATCGCAAGAATGACAAAGAAACCCAAGTGATGGAGCTCTATGGTAGAGTATTTCATGTGGACACTCACCTTGGAGGGGGCTGGAGACAAAATGATTCCCCCAGTCCTACCCTGGGATGTCATTCCTCCTCTGAAGAGAGGCGCTACTTGGGTAATCCCTCAGGCTCGGTGATGGGAAGATGATGAAATTTCTCATCATGCCAGAGGATAACCTAAGATGTCAAATTCAGGACAGGTTATAGCCCATCCCTACCTTCTGCCCAAGCACCAATCCCTGCTATCCATTTCCCATCCATCTGCACACCCCACTCTGGCCCCCAAGAGCCTCAAAGACCAAGACACGGAGTCAGAGCAGTTATTGTCATTCTTCCCACAGCTCGAAACTCAGATGTGAATCTAAAACTGAAGGAAAGGTTTCGGGAACTTTGCCAAATAAATGGAATTGCTAAGGAAAACATATTGGACCTGACAAAATTCGGTAAGTTTAGCTACCTCAGATTCTCTCTTCCTCAATTTCCATGCCACTGAATGGAGAAATCGAAGAGAAGGTAATACCTCCAATCAGTCCCCTCTGTCCTAACCTGGGAAA